ATTGCATTCCCAAGATCACCTCCAAACTCCCAAGTTCTAATGGTAAAAAATTGTCCACTATTGACAAATTTTGCAAATTCAAGACCACCGATCTACACAAACTGGAGCTTTTGGCCGACTCCCTTGTTCCAACTTGAACCCCATAACAATCGGTGTAAGAGATAGGAATGGATAATTTTTCAGCTAAGCTCATAGCAATAAAATTATGAGTAGCCCAATTATCCATCAACACTGAAACCTCATGTTGTGCAATTTCCCCTCTGCTTTTCATAGTTTTTGGAGCTGAAATACCCATAATAAAATTTAAGGACAATTCTATTACCTCTTTAGATGGGTTGTGGACATCTGGTTCTTCCTCTAACTGATCAACCTCCTCATCCCGAAGCTAATCTTCCTCATCACTACACAGCATAATCCGCAGCTCCCTATTCTTGCATCTGTGACCGATTGAAAACTTTTCCATGTATCCTAGCTTCGTTACGCTTTGGGAATGACACATGCAATTCCCATGCTGCCAACTCAGCTCACGGGAGACATGGAGCTGGATGCTGAACCAGCCGCCCAACAGGGCGTACATCAGAGCTTGAATTGGATAGACTTGGGGTTAGAAGTGCTTATTCATTGAGCCAAACTACCTTCTCATGATGACACTTGAGGACAAGGTGCGTCTTTGGGCAGGGGGTATTGATAGGCCTCCTCCATGTTTTACCTATTCACGGCGCAACAAGGCTGGGAAAAGGGCCGAAATAGAAACTTGATCGATCAATTTCCCTTAAGAATTTTTTGTGATCTGTGTTAATTTCTCTGGTTGCTATCAGATTTATCATTTGAATAGACTAAACTTTAGCTTGGGTCGTAACATAATTTGATACTAAATGAAAAAAGCTCAAAGACATGCTATAAGTCACTAAGGATTACTGACAAGGATAGCATGTTTCCTAATTTGGAGGAATTCCATTCACACAGGTTAAAAAGGTCTAAAAGGGCCTATTCATATTATTTATACTCTTGGGGAATTGCTTTCCACTCAAATACTGTCTCTTCTCAAAGTCTAGAAAGAATAACCACGAAAAAAGTCTCTCAATGAAAAGGAAACAACTACGTGTGGAAAAATGAAAGTACAAAGGAATGATAAATGAAATGCATGGCATGCAGAGTTTAGAAAGTACTGATTACATTTATATATGTAACGACCATGAGCACATACAAAAATATTTAAAAGCATCTTTGGCTACTATGCCTTGCAAATACAGTACTCAGAAAAAGGCTAGCCGTGGAACTTTAGTGGACTCTGAAAAAATTAGATATCAGAAACCGCTAATTTAGCAAATGATCCTTAGAATCTTTAATACTTGCTGACTAGCTGCTGCAAGTCTTAGCAGTTCATCTACTTCTGAGAAATTCATAAACCACTGATTTAGGGAAAGATCTTTGGTATCTCCTCTCTTTTTCTTACTTTCTATTTCAACCGGAACTACACAAAGCGAATGCGTATTTATTAATATAGACACTACAACATTAACAAAAATTTAAATGCAGATAGAAAACATACCGGGAGGAGGCAAGGCAAAGCCAACAGGTAATCTGGATATGGTTACAGCTGGATGATTTTGCACACGAGCAAGAAAAGCCTCAGAAGGTTTGGGGAACACAATTTCATCATAAAAAACAACAGGCTTCTTTGTTGATATAGGACCAGATTCATCCTCTAGGTACAACTTCAAATGATGATATCTGTATATAGTAAAACTCATATGACATATAAGTAATTGGGTCTCTTGTTCCCAATACCAATTGAAATCCTTCCATCCTACAAATTAAGTATTAGGAATACCAGTTTAGTAACCAATTTGACATGATAGAAATAAACAACGAAGAAAACCGGTGCCCTTCTATGAATAGTTTCTATCTTTTTCTTGATCGTTGTTTTACTTTAACCCTTGGCTCCACCATCATGTAATGGTACAACAGAGTATCAACGAACAGAGCTGCAAGGCTAAAAAACTAACTGAATCCTATTAAAATCAATGCAAAGACGCAACTCACAATTTCACTGGCTTCTCACAAACATCGTTGTGGAAATGAAGAGTAATCACAATTTCAAATTAACCCCATCCTGATTCTGACAACTCAAATGGAGGTGCTTCGACCGCCCTTGTCGGATTATTGAAACTGGAATGCAACTGAAAAGCTGCACGCTTTACCACTGCACCAAGATCTTCATTGGTCGCTCCACGAACATAGACAGTCCACTTATGCGACTGGTACCTAATTATTATCAAGAGAAAAAAAAAATTACCCTCTACATGTGACAACCAAATCAAGAAAAAAAACCATCTTGCAAAATACTTAACAACACTTACTCGCTTGCCTTCTTACCAAGCCAAAATGCAATGTTACCATATACAATTGGAACGCTGCCTTCAACATCTTTTAACTTCTTACTCAAAGTCAATAAGAATTCTTGGTCTCGCGACTGCAACTCAAAATCTAAAAAGCACCAATCCGTTGGTAACACTCCAATTATCATAGCATTTATTTTTTAGGATATTCTAGGAATAGAAAAACTACATACTAAATTAGAGATAAAATCATTTTGGTACCATGTGTTATAGTGAAACATGCTCTTAGTACCATGTCTTTTTGATAATATTAAAGAGGTATTTCAACGTTTTCAAAAAGATCTTTTTAGTACCCTGAAGTTGATTTTTGAGATGTTAAATGACCTTAGTATGCTTCTATTTAATTAATAAAGACTAATAGATCTAAAAAAAATCACGAGCTTTCTTATTTTGTTGTTTTTTTTAAATGTTTTAATGTTTTAAAGTATTTTCAAATTTTTTATAAAAAACAATAATTTCTATTTAATTGATAAAAATAGTAGTTTGCACATTACACATCCTAAAAATTAGTTTTAGAAAAACCTTAAAGTACTATTTTAATATTATAAAAAATACGGAGCACTAAAAGTATTTTTTGCTATATTACAAGGTATCATTTTATCCCTAGTAATTATTATCATAACTTTCATTTTTTATGCTACAAAATTATAATAGTAATCAGTATGATATTTTTAATCTTTACTATTTATAAAATTTTTAACTTTCTTGCTATATTAAGAATATTATACTTAAACTACCTTGAAGTTGCAGTAATACTACACTGTAAGACATGTTATGAGCTCAATCAACCAATCTAAAACAGGGCATTGGAGATCATATTTAGTAAAATCAACTTTGGGATTTCTGGGCAACCTTAATTTTGTCGAAATCACAGATGGGTAGTAAAAAAAAAAACTCTGAAAAACAATTGAACAAGAATCTCTCACCTTCTTTTCGCTGTCTTCGGGTTTCGCCATTTTTGTGCGCTGTGACTTGGGCGTGGGAGCACAAAAATCAGGCCGATTTTGATTTTAATTTTTCGAAGAAGAAATGCTTATCATATCCTTTCAACAGTGTAGTTCTTTCTTCGCCGGAATCGAAGAACAATAATTGAGAATTTTCACTTTTAAAAAAAATCGAGAATTTTCTTTTTCTCTGCGGTAAAATTCCTATTGTTTCACAGTAACATTCAGCAACGAGATGTACGCTGGACTTGGTTTAGAACGAATAAAAAAGCGCCATGTTATTTTCAGCAGGGATAGTTGTGTCGGTTAATAAAATAAAATATTAGTTAAATGACTATAGTACCCTTAATTGGATGTCGTGGCAGGACTTGGAGGAATTGTACGGTAGTTAGTGCAAGCGCAACGTAGTGGAAAGTTGTGTTTTATATGACCGTCAAAATGGCAGGTTATAGCTTTTGCAAAACAAACAACATGTCGTTTCTTTAGCCAAAAAAAAAAAAAAAAAAAACATGTCGTTTTCATTTGAAACATTACTACTGTTTGTTTGGAGTAAAGAACGACGTGTCGTCGACTTCAAACAAAGAATATGTAAATTGTTCTTTAGAAAGGTTGTCGTTCGAAGTTAATAATGTGTCGTGTGAGATTTAGAAACAACATGTCGTTTATATAGGGACTGATTGCTTGTTTGACGCTTGAAAACGACGTGTCATTTAATATCCTGAGAGCAACTACGGTTACTTCTCGTATGAAGTTTGGCAAACAAAAATGTGGTTGGTGTTGAATTTAAGAACTACTTGAAACTAAGAAAAACAAGTTGGAGTTTGAAAAAAAAATGCCATGTTGTGTTTGCTTGGAAAAAATTGCTTCTTGTTTTATGTTTGTAGACGACAAGTTATTCGAGATACATAAAACGACATGTTTTACTAATTTTCAACGCCCCTAGTTTTATGGTTAGACAAAAAAAAAAAAAAAAGAAATAACAATAATAATAAAATAAGAACCTCATTTAGATTAAAGAGTAATGCTTCACCAATTTGTTTACCAAGCTTTAGCAACTAAGTAATATAACAGTTTGATTTGTTGATTGCAATATGTTTCTAAACAAAATATACACAGCTAATGTAAGCATTAGAAATTAATTGTATAATAATAATAATAAAATAAGAACCTCATTTAGATTAAAGAGTAACGCTTCACCAATTTGTTTGCCAAGCTTAGCAAATAAGCAATATAACACTTTGATTTGTTGATTGAGTTTGTTTTTAAACAAAATATACACAGCTAATTTAAACATTGGAAATTTATTGTATAGATCAAAGCTTAGTCAATTTATGAAATCGAAATTGGTTGGACATCAAATCTTGGAATGAGAAGGTTTCAGAATTAGAGGTGGTACCAACAGAATGTACTTTTGGTCGGGAAATTCCATTATAAATCATAGAAAAACAAAAAACAAAAAACAAAAAGATAAGTAGAGATACATTTGTTAATGATTTAAGCAGACTCAATTTTGATTCAACGATTCACCAAATTTTACAATACATAGAACATATTGAAGAATATGCAAAAACTCTATTTACAGTTCTATCTAGTGGACATCAATCCAGTTGTACAAAATTGTCCCTGCCAATCTTCAGAGTGTAATGGGCTACAATCAACTCAAGCGCGAAGCAAGATCAATGAAGATATCTTCTCTGCAAGGGATTGTTAGGCCACCCATTGGATGGTTATATCCGAATTCTTCCTCTGCTCGACTAAGCAACTCTTGAAATGAAGGCTCGTTCAGCAATGAAATTGGAACTACATGTCGCTTCTTTTTGCTCTCTCCGACATACACGGCAAAGTAGCCCTTTGGAACATCTACTGGCGTCGAAGCAGAACTCGAACGGCGCAGAATTTGCTTTGCATTCGAAAGACCAGGCAATCTAATCGCCATGCTTGAAAGTCTAGTCAAGAAATGGCTTGAATGACTAGAAGGGTGTTTTGGCTGTAGAGGATCTAATAAGGCTCGATATATACATATATATATATATATATAGTTTTTGTTGGGATTATAAGTTTTGTGAATTAATGTGTATATACATAGAAGGAAGGGTGTATAGAAGATCTTTGATATGTGGAGAGAGTTGTAGAAGAAATTTGATGCAATGTTTGGTTAGAAACACAAGCATACGAAGGATCACATGGTTATGTCCTTTCAGTACATCTCTAAGAATCTTGTGTGATTCTGACTATTCATTAATAATTTGTTAGGATGCAAAAATATTATGTCCAGCCATTTTATGGTGGATAGATTGATCACATGGTTATGTCCTTTCAGTACATCTCTAAGAATCTTGTGTGATTGAGACTATTCATTAATAATTTGTTAGGATGCAAAAATATTATGTCCAGCCATTTTATGGTGGATAGATATGGGGATTTGGCTATCACAAGCTTTTTTTTCAAGAAAGGTAAGACTTCTATGGCTATAATTTTTCGGCCAAGAAAAGGTTGGGGCACTATAAATGGTGCTGCTTTCACTGCTTGACAATAAATGAAAGGGACTTCTAACTTCTGGACACTAAAAAGAAAATAAAAAATAAAAAAATCTCCAAGCAAAAGAAGAATCTTCTAAAGAGTACTAAAAAAGAGTTCTAACTTCTAAACACAGAGGAAAAAAGAAATTAAAAAGAAGATTAAGACACACACACACAAAAATGAAACCAGTCTCTTGTCATAAGAGCTCAATTGTACATAGACAAACAAAAAGAAAACAACCTTAGTAGAAAAAGCAATAAATCAAAAGGTATACGGTAGAATTTTCTTAACATGGGAAGACAAATATGAATATCAAGGATAAGATACTCACCAAATAATAATAACCTGATTAAAGTGGACTGATGAACACATTGTTCCCAGTTGGAATTTCATTAAATACCACTTCAATATCTTTAATTAGAATTATTTTGCATCATCAACGGGATTTCTCCACATGGGCATGTGTCTTTCTAGAAATATATTTACATTGTTTACAGAAAACAATGCTTTCTATGAGCCATGCTAATCGCACTTGTATGAAGTAAATCCATTAATTAGAAAGTATAAGAATATCTTTAGCGCAAGAAATCAACTTCATGTGCACAAAAATCAAATATCATCACTTAAAATGTAAATATGGGTATTTGGGATACTACAAGCATTTGAAAAACTAGGTTAAAGTTGTTCAGTTATCTATAATTAGGCATGCAAGGAAATAGGAATAAAAGCTTTGTCAATTATGGAAGCGCTATTTGTTGTAAATTATTATACAATTTTCTCTAAAATTAGCACTAGAGTTGAACAAGTATAGTAAAATTTTTTAATTTTTTAGAGAAATGTTTGACAAATATCGGTAATTTCTATTTACACTTTCAAAATTATGAAGAAAATAAAAAACTCCAAAACACAAGATTATACAAAGTTGTATCTGACAAAATTTTCAGAGTGATATGAATCACAATCCATTCAAGCATGAAGCAAAATCAATGAAGATATCTTTGCAGGGGATTTTGAGGCCCCCCCTTTGGATGGTCATATCCAAGTTCTTCTGAAGTGAAGGCTGATTCAGCAGTGGTGTTGGAACTACAATTCTCTTCTTTTTGCTCTCCCCAACATACACTGCAAAATCGCTTCTTGGAACATTATAAACTGGTTTGTAAAAAAAAAAAAAAAAAAAAAACTCGACCGATGTAGAATCTGCTTAGCATTCAGTACGTATGGAAGTCTTATACATAATATAATATATGGATCGAGAAGGAAAGATGTTTCATTATAAACATCATGAAATGCGGATAGAGTTGTACGGATAAGGTTTGGTTAGAGAAATAATTTAACATATTAAACGTCGCGTATAGTTTTGTACTTCACTTTTCTCAAAAGAATTTGGTGTGATTGAAGCTAGAAATTACTTGGAAAGCAATATGTCTGACCATTTCTTGTTGGACCACCTACAAAGGAACCCCACTTGAAATTAAAGAGATTTGGATAGCACAAGCCCCTTTTTGAATCAAGTGGCTGCCCTATCTTCGAAAATTAAGAAGCCAAACTTTCCTTTTTCTCTTTTTTATTTCATATGAAAATACTAATCGGGACCTCAAGTACCCGATTAGTCATTAGCCATTTATTTCCGCATGTTCTTGACAAAGAAGATTATGAGAAGCTGTGGGGAAAAAAAGAAAAGCTATAAATAACGAAGATCAGAAGAAATCTTCTGAGTTATTAGATAAATAGGCGTTAGAAGCATAGTTGATACTGACATGTTCTTTAATGCAGAAATAGCGAGTATTGAAAAAGATGGCTGCTTATTTCTGATGTAAATATATGTCCCCTTTTGACATGGACATGCTTAAGACATCTTAATTACTAAATATTTCGTGTTTTGAGTCGGAAGAAAAAAAGATGTAAGCAAATGTGTCTAAGCATGTTCGTTGGTGCTAATACGTCCTTCCGAGTAACAATATGTCCTTTTCCATTTTCATTTCCTTTTCATTCTTTTAGGTAGGGATTTTGGAACAAATGGAAAAGAAAGAAAGTTCAATGGAGAAAAATGAAGCGCTAGTTTCCGCCACGCAAATTTCAATGCGTAATGACGAGTTTGGAAGACAATACCATGTGAGTGTCAAGAACTAAACCTCTCACTAGACCCCATGCAATTCAATGCTTCCTTAACCTTCACCATTCATATCCATATTGGAGTAGATATAACTGTCCTACATATCTTGTCAAGGCTTTTGATTATATATACACTGTTACAAATTGGATCAGTACTCTAATGAAATCCCTAGAATCAATCCCAAATCTCAAGAAAAACAAAACACCAAAGAAGCGCACTGATGACTTTGATCTTTTATTGAATCTTGCAACAATTACACAGAATTGAAATACACCTTTCAGAATTCTCTGTTAGTGTATCAATTCATTCTAAAAGCTTAAGTTTTAGGAGGTAGACCAAAAATAGTTTTATACTTTAACACTCCTCATTACGAGGATAAAGAGTGTAATTATGAGGATTTGAACTCAAAACCTCCCGCTTAAGTTTTAGGAGGTAGACCAAAAATAGTTTTATACTTTAACACTCCCCATTATGAGGATAAAGAGTGTAATTATGAAGATTTGAACTCAAAACCTCCTGATACCATGTTAATTTATCAATCCATCTCAAAAACTTAAACTTTAGAGGGTGGACGAATAATAGTTTTATACTTTTTAACATTTTCAGAGGAAAAAAAAATCCCCAGAGCCTCTCTCTTCTCTGTTTCTCTCTCTACCCTTTCCAAAACACTCGTTTGTAACATTTCTTAGTCACGGGACATTTATAACAGCTCTCTGTCAACTAGGCTCATGCCACCTGGCTAACTAACTAACGAAGCTTACATTCCCTTATTTTCAATTCTGTTACAATATTAAGACCCTTAGAATATAGAACCAACTTCTTAACATACACATATGAGATTTGGTTCAATTAGCACCCCAAGTCCTCCTGACAATCTCAACTATCAGAGCTTTACTTGTTAGCGCTTTGAGATCCCTTTCCTTGGAACACTTTTTCTTCTTTCTTCTCCTTTCTCTAAAGAGAGATTCAAAGATGGGTTTCCGTTTTCCCAGTGTAGTTCATGCTAAGCAACTCATTAGGTCTTTCTCAAGCGCAAAAGATGTCCCAAAAGGCTTTTTGGCAGTCTGTAGGGGGAGAGCCAAATGAAGAGATTTGTGATCCCGATAACATACCTTAACCGGCCTTCATTCCAAGAGTTGCTAAGTCAAGCTGAAGAAGAATTCGGATTTGATCATCCAATGGGAGGCCTTACTGTTCCCTGCAGCAAAGATGTCTTTGCCGATCTTATTTCTCGCTTGAATGCCTAGTGATGAGTACAAAGGCAGTCAGTCATATAATAGAATTGCTAACAGGCTGATTCTTACATTTTTGTAAGGCAAAGAATGACAATATCATGTAAATATTTTTCCTTGGGGACCAAAATTCATATATCCCTGAGAATGTTATAAATGAATACTACTGAGATTCTTTCTTCAATGATTTACTTTATTGAAGGTTTTGGTCTCTTGAGACGGATGTAGAATCCAAATTTTCTCATTTCACATTCATTTGTTGCAAAATATATCAGCTGAAGGTTTTGCAAATACAAATTAAACTAAAAATAAGATGTTTTGTAGGTGCGAATCAATATATGCAACTAGATACATTTTCAAAAAGTTAATTTCAATTTAATGAACATTCTTTATTTTGTTGAACAAGATCACTTTCACTTTAACAATTGAAAGAAGCTGCTAATCAAGAAAGAAAATATATTTGGTAGCCTTGTTACATATTATGCATTCTCTATGGAATCCAACAACGTATGACAAAATTGAGACTGTTTTTTGTACATTAAAAAAAGTTGAGACTGTTTTCCTTGTTATGTCTGACTAGTTCTTGATTACTGCTATGATGCTTCTTATTACTACAATAGTAGGACATGCTAAGAATATACTAAAATAAACTTATATATATATATGTATATATATATATATCAGCTCACCTATTGAACAACAAATGAAAAACTTGATTCAAAGTTACCTAATTTGGGCAAAACTTAAATAGGTGTGAAGTGTTTCCTCTTAGGAAAACGTTCCATTTTCTTTGTGTTGGAAAACTCTAGATATACCTATCCTTCCATTCTGTTAAGATAATCTGTTAATTAACAAACAGTCCTCTGTTGAATCAGATTTGGTAACATTTTTCTGTTCAAGGCCAACCGCTTTTCATATGCTGGCACAGCATAGCTTAGTAGAAGATGCTAGCAAGCAAAGTGGAATATCGAAAAATATCCAAATGATGATAATCTTTCTCTGATCTCAATTTACTTTCAATAGAAATTCGAACATGTATGAAAAGAAAATTTTTTACTTACAAGTTTTTCAAGAGCTCAAACAATTTCCTTTCTACAAAGAAAAGGAAAAAGTATATCATCTACAAAATTGTTCCTGCCAATTTATAATGTTAATATTATTAGTTACAATCCACCTAACTGAGAAGTGAGATCAATGAAGATATCTTCTCTGCAGGGAATTGTGAGTCCACCCATCGGATGCTCGTAACCAAACTCTTCCTCTGCCAAACTTAGCAGTTCTTGAAATGCAGGCTCGTTCAAGTACGAAATTGGAACTACATAGCGCTTCTTCTGATCCTCGCCAACATAGACCGCAAAGTAGCCTTTTGGAATGGTTGTAGACTTCAAAGCTGCCTCCTTGAGGCCCGAAAGTGTGCGGCGGAGGGCCTTCATGACAGGCAATCCAAATGCCATGTTAAATATTGCTATGTTATTGCTTTAGAGGAGGTCTAGACTTGATAAGCAATTATCCAGGCAATATAGAGAATGTGAGGAGTGATTTAGATAATTTGGTAGTGTTCCTTTGTATATATAGAGGAATGGATATTGTGGAAAAATTCTCTGAAGTTTCAACAAGTGGCTGCGGAGACAATTGGATAGGTGTGGAGACATAAGCATTTAAAACTTCACATGGCTCTGTCTTCTAGTTCACGAGATATGAAAATTTGTTTTTGTTCTATTCATTATTAATTTTACCAAACTTGAAATATGAAAATTTGGTTGTGATTTCTGAATGAGACATATATACATATTCTGTTGGCCATTTCCAGCAGAACAACTTACAAGGGAGCCCACATGAAACAAAATATTTGCAGCAAAGAGAAACCGTTTTGGAACATAACCTCTCACAACAGGAAACTAGCTTGAGATATGGAACTCTATTATTTCTTGAAAACAATCCAAATCACAACAATATATCAAGAGAGACAGCACCATGTGATCTTGCTCAAGTGCCCCTCCCTCTCAAAAGAACACATTCAATTTGTTGCCTTGTAACTCCACACCATTCATTTTGCACAAGTTTTATGCCTCACAAACTCTATCAAGTATCTGCAATGTATATATACAGTATCAAAAGGATGCACTCACTAGCTTTTCAAATCATTTAGAATCTTTTGTTTGCACAATTACACAAAACCATCAGTTTCCCTAGAGTAGTTGATGCTAAACAACATATTCAGATGCCATTTTCAAACACAAAACAAGTAGCAGATGTCCCAAAAGGCTATTTGGTAGTTTTTGTTTGAAGATGTTTGCCATTCATGTTTCATAGCTAAACCAGACTTCATTCCAAAACTTGCTGAGATCCTGATTTGGAACATTCTCATTTTAAATTTTTGGATCAATCTCAGTTGTCTCCGCTAAACTTTAAGGCCATTTTCACTTTTTCTTCTAAATTTTAAAAACTTACTCTGCTTCCCGAACTTTGAATTAGTCTCACTTTATCCATTCTGTTTAAATTTTCGTCAAAAATACGAAAAAGGACTACTTGATCACTCTTAGCTCGTTTCTTTTTGTTCTATTTTAAACAGCAAAAGTACTAGATGAGAAAAGATTACTTGCACAACCTTAATCGTCTTCTTTCAATTTGTTAACGTAATTTTTAAGAGAACACCTTAAATGAGTGCAATTCAAAATTCAATAAGTAAACTGAGAGTTATTAAAAAGTTTAAAAAATAAAGTGAGAATAACCTAAAGTTTAGAGAGTGCAGGAAAGAATAATCACTAATTTTTTTTCCAAACAAAATGTTCTCTTTTTTTCATCTTTTTATTTTTCGTAACCACCTCTTATTTTTTATGTCTTTAAAAACAAAAGGGCTTATTACAGTGACACTTCCTTAACTGAATTTATCAATAGCAACACCCCCTATTGAAATTCTACCTCTTATTTTTTATGTCTTTAAAAACAAAAGGGCTTATTACAGTGACACCTCCTTAACTGAATTTATCAATAGCAACACCCCCTATTGAAACTCTGTTAAATTTTGGTGAGAAATGTCAAAACTACCCCTATGTTAAATTTGCTTTCTTTCTTTTTTATTTGATTTTTTAATAAAAAATTGTGTTAAGATGTGTTGTAATATTTTTAAAGAGTTAACAAAAAAATATGTTAAAAAAAGTTAATGCGTTTAATTTTTTGTATTATATTTTTTTTGTCATAAATGGTTTAAGTTTAATTTAAACCACATATTTGTTTCATTATTAGGAAAAATTGTCCAATTTAATTTACTCTTTCAATTAAATTAATTTTCACTATAACATAGTTGGTCCTAATAATACACCTAAATGGTTTTTAATTAAATATGCTAGTTTAGTGGATCGAGAACATTATTAAAACAAAGGAGTTTTAGAAAAAGAAATGTGTAAATGGTTTTTTATTAGAGTGAAAATTATATTTATAAATGTGTAAAAATTATCTAACCTCATTTTTTGATGCTAAATAAGAGTATACATGTCTTTCCTAATATTATGTACAACTTAGCAACATTTTTCTGGTAAATAGATGGGCATTTTTGGCATTTTCAAAAAAAAATTAACGACCAAGATTGATGGTCATCTCACGGTCAACTAATAAAGGGGTGTCTGTGTAATTTTTATAAAAAGCCAAAGAGTATTGATGTGATTAGTTTAAGTCAAAGGGATGTCTCTATTAATTTGATAGGAGGTGTCAGTGTAATAAGCCCAAGGCAAAAACAAAAGCAAGTTTTGCTAATTATGATTTTGTAAGAGTGTCTGTGTAATTTTTATAAAAAGCCAAGGGGTATTGATGTGACTAGTTTAAGTCAAGAGGATGTCTCTATTAATTTGATAGGAGGTGTCAATGTAATAAGCCCAAGGTAAAAACAAAGCACGTTTTGCTAATTATGATTTTATTACATTTTGTAAACAAAACAACAAAAACAAAAACAAAAAATCACTTGCTGCTGCCAGGAGGCTGGAATTGATGCCAAGGTTGGGATGACATGTTGCGATTGATGCTGGGTCGGATCGACGGGCCGAGTTCCATGCATGCCGAGAAGGATTATGCGTCCAGGTGAAGATCAACACTACATGGGGTGGGTTCAAAACAAAGCCTAGAACGATATTGATGTCCGATCAAATGTGGGAACTAGCGATTGGGTGAGAATGAGAAGGCTAGTTCGGCATTGGGGTTGCACCGAAAGGCAAGTACCGTCGCTTAAGTGAAACTGACGGGATGGGTTTGGCTTCGATATTGGCAGTGATGGATCCAGAAATTTATCCAGTAGGGGCACTTACTAAAAGAAATTTTAAGAAGTTTTCGTGAGAAAAAAAGATATAAATATAAGTTTACGTGTCAAAAGGATCAAAATACATAGTTGGTTGTTGATGTTAATTAAACATAGAAAAATTTAAAATAAAAAAGATAAATAAAACAATATATAAAATATAAAGAGAAGATGAGTTGGTGTAGTCATAAAACTTTAAAAATAAAGCAAAAAATAAATATAGATATATATATATATATATATTTAGTAGGGATAAATATGAAAAGAAATTATAAATATAGGGTAAATTTAAAAAGAAAAAAACTAGGTGGGGCACGTGACCCCACATGTCCTCAACCAGATACGTCCCTGGATGTTGGGCATAACGTGTTGATTTTATGGAGAATTTTATGATAAGACCTGAAAAATACATATCCTACAAGAAAGATGCATGCTTACAGTTTTGAATTGTCTAATTATATCATACTTTAAGATTATGTAACTAAAAGTTATTATAATCTGACGCTTTAAAATTGTTATTGTCATATCTCAATTTTCGAAGTCATCATTTAAAGGTTGGGAGGTTTAAATTTTATTATCAACTCCGAGCTCAAAAAAGAAAAATGATTAGGAACACCACTAGTACTAAGCTCCATTAATAATAGAAAGTGAGTCTTATTTTATTTATGAGCCCCACAATATTCTATTAACGGATGGTCCTAAGCACCATTGATGTCCAATAATAGGGCGATGGAGGAAAATAGGCCAACATTTGGAAGAAATTAAAATTAATAGGTTAAAGTTCTAGAAAAGTTAATAAATATGTCAATTTAAGGTAAATTTGGATTTATAAACAATAAATTTTCAAAAATACCCTTAAATGAGAATTCTACTCAAAATCCTAATACTTGTCTCTCTCTCTCTCTCTCACCGACCTATTTCTTCACTCTCTCACTGAAACTATCAGCCTCTCTCTCTCTTCCCTCCGCCGCTCTCCTCTCTTCCGACGCTTTCTCTCTCCCCTCCACCACTCTCTCCCTCTTCTGTCGTGCTCTCTCTCTCTCCAAAGCATT